ACACATTCAAATGAAGTTGAAAATTAATAAATAAATGAATAAAATGTTTTTAAAAGTGAGTATGAATGACCAAAACAATTTTTAATATTTACCATAATTTTAAAAATATTAACATATATATATATATATATATATATATATATTACAAATTAAATTCCTTATTTTTGGAACTTTATATACATTTTTTTGAAATTTTTTTTAAATACCGATCGATCATCAAAACCACCTGAAATTGGAACTGGCAACAGGCCAGTTTCGATCTAACTTGGGCGGTTACCGGTTAGATCGCATGATTTTTCTAACAATGAGGAAAACCCATCCATCGCCGAGCAACCAAACCTAAAAAAAGAAAAAGAAAATAAAAAGAAGATAGTTTATGCGGAGCGAAACATACCCGTTTATAAAAAGGTACGGTTTGTATAGAGTCTAGGTTCTAAACAATCAAATTAAAGCCTACGTTAAAATAGTGTCGAGAAATGTGATTTCAATACTGAAAATCTTTTTGATAGCCTTAAAATATATTTTCATCTTTATTTATAAAGTTTAAAGCTTCAAAAATAGTGTAGGTCGAGAGATCTATGAAAACTTGAAAATCTTGAAAATTGACGGACAAAAAATGTGCTACAAAATACACTATTTCCAAAACTTGAAATCTGTTTTTCTCTATGTCCATTCATCTTGATGTGGAGATGATCAATTTGAGGATATTTGGGCATCAAAACAACCTCTTCTAATAAAATTTTTGAGGTAGGCTTTAATTTGATTGCTTAGAGCCTCGGCTTTATATAAACTTTTCCCATTATAAAAAGTAAATGTGATTGATGTAAGTTTGAGGCAGCAAATAATTTTGTAAATGACAGAATATTTGGAGGAAATAAAATTTTGGAAAAAGTCTATATAGGGCCTAGGCTCTAAACAATCAAATTAGAGCCTACCTCAAAAATTCCATTAGAAGAGGTTGTTTTGATGCCCAAATATCTTCAAATTGATCATCTAGACCTTAAGATGTGGGCATGAAAAAAAAATGGACTTCAAGCTTTGAAAATAGTGCATTTTGTAACGCATTTTTCAACCGTCAATTTTCAAGATTTTCATGGATCTACTCAATCTACACTATTTTCTAAGCTTTAAATTTTATAACTAATGATGAAAATATATTTTAAGGCTATCTCAAATATTTTCAATATTAAAACCACATTTCTCAACACTATTTGAAGGTGGGTTTTACTTAGAGCCTCGGCTCTATACAAACCGCACCCTAAAATTTTTGTTGTAATAAATTAGTAATAATATTTTTTTGTGAGAATTATATTTTATTTTTATGTTGAGGCATTATTGTATGGGAAAAGTTATATAGAGTTGAGGCTGTAAACAATCAAATTTGAGCCTAGCTAAAAAATCTCACTAGAAGAGGTTGTTTTGATGCCCAAATATCTCAAATTGATCATCTCGACATCAAGATGCATTAACATGAGAAAAAAAATGGATTTCAAGTTTTGGAAATAGTGTATTTTATAATGCATTTTTTGACTGCCAGTTTTCAAGATTTTCAATTTTTCATAGATATGTCGATCTACACTATTTTTAAAGTTTTAAACTTTATTAATAAAGTTGAAAATATTTTTTAAGGCTATCACAAAGATTTTCAATATTGAATCCACATTTCAATATTGAAGTTTAGAGCTTAGGCTTTATATAAACTTCACCCTTATTGTATTAGATGGAGAGGTTCCATTTTCATGTAAAATAACAAATCAGTCAATCGATTTGTAACGTTTTTTAGTCCTTTGTATTTTGTATTTTCAATGCGTTTACCGTGCTGGTAATTATGAAAATGTGATTTTTGCATTTCTTGGGAACTTTGAGTTTAGGTGGTATTCTGGTAATTCATAAAATGTAGAAGCAAACTTAAATATAAAAACACAAAAGAGCAAATGTAAGATATATACATAATATTAAATTTAGGGTATTTCTACAAAATTTAAGAGTTCGTGTTAGTATTGGCAAAGTATTTTATCAAAAAGGTCATTTATGGCCTGGCAAAATTTTATTTCTAGTTTACATATCTTCTTGATGATATTGTTGTTTTTGTTCTATACGTTTGTTCATCTGTTGTAGCAGACGTCTTTCAATTTCTAGGTCGTATGGCATTGTGTCTATATCATGAGCTGCCAGCATGTTGGATATTTTTTAAATTTCCATATGATTGCATAATGAATAAATGAATCAGGGACAAAGTATAAATATGAAAATAAATCCCAAAAAAAACTATTGTTATAGCTATTTTATTTTATTATACGTATATGGGGGAGAGAGAGAGTATATGTGTGTGAGAGAGCGATTGAAATATTTATATTTTGATTTCGCTTGGTTCGGTGCATCGAGAAGAGCTTGTCTTCTTTTTGTTGAATTTCATTGAAAGTATCATCTTTCATTGTTAAAATGTGAAAGTTATATCTTAATTATGGACAAAACGTAAAAGATGTACAAGATAAAAGATAGATACAAATAACTCTCAAACTCATGAATGACGTGATGAGATAACAACAAATAGTTATAACAATAACAAGATCCCATTTTGAATGAGTCTTCTAATTTTGAATTGGAATTTGAAATCATCCCATTTTGAATGGGTCTTCTAACTTTGAATTTGAAATCGAAATCAAATCCTCAACACTCTGCTTTAAGCTGGTGCTTGAAAACACATAACGCCCAGCTTGGACAACTACAAATGAAACTGCGTACATCCGAAGGGCTAAGTGAAGATATCTACAAGTTGAAATTGTGATGGCACATAAGAAGTGGAGATGAGGCTGGATTGTATCTTTTCCCAGATAAGATAGCAGTCCAATTCTATGTGTTTGGTACGGTCATGGAAGACAGGATTGACCGCAATGTAAAGAGCAGCTTGGTTATCACAATGGAGATGCATAGGTCGAGAGTGAAAAACTTCAAGATCAGCAGAGAGAAACTTAAGCCATGTCAATTCACAAGAAGATGTGGTCATAGACCGATACTCAACCTCGATTAAAGAGCGTGCCACGATGTTTTGCTTCTTAGTGCGTCAAGAGATTAGACTTGCGCCTAAAAAGATAATATATTCAGTGGTAGAACGACGAGTCATAGGACAAACTTTCCCAATCTTAGTCAAAGTAGGCTGTGACTTTAAGTCACTTACAGATAAAAGCAGAATGCCATGCCTTGGAGTGGCCTTCAAATATCATAGAACTCATTGAGCGGCATCAAGATGGGGCTTGTGAGGTGTCTGCATGAATTGGCTAAGTACATGCATTGAGTATGTCATATCCGGGCGTGTAATTGTCAAATAAATGAGTCATCCCACAAGACGTCTATAAGAACCAAGGTCGTCTAAAACAACTCCATCATCCACCTTTAACCAAAAATTTGCTCCATTGGGAATCAGACAGGCTTGGATCCAAGAAAACAAGTTTCTTTCAAAATGTCCAAGATATATTTTTGTTGGCTAAAGAATATGCCCTTTGCTGAGTGGGTAACCTTGATACCAAGAAAATATTTGAGCTGATCCAAATCCTTGATGTGAAATTTCATATCTAGGTAGGCTTTCAAACAATTAATTGAGAGTGTATCATTGCCAGTAACAATGACATCATCCACCTAAACAAATATTGTGGTAAACTGGTGACTATTGGAGTGTGTAAACAAAGAATAATCAACAATGGATTGCTTGAAACCAACTGACCATATAAAGATTTGCGAAGCCGACAAACGAGGTTTTCCCCCTTTTGGGTATAACCAGGTGGAGGAGTCATGTAGACTTTCTCATGTAAGTCTACATGCAAGAAAGCGTTGTTGACATCCAATTGGTGTAAAGGCCAATTTCTCGCAGAGGCAATGACAAGTAAACATCGCATGGTAACTAGCTTGGCAACGGGTGCAAAAGTCTCATGATAATCGAGCTCTGTGGTTTGGGTATACTCCTTTGGCAACCAAACGAGCCTTGTAGCTTTCTATAGATATAACCCATTTGAAGTCAATGGGGTGCCTTCCAGGTGGTAAGGGTTGTAGGGTTTTGTTGTTGTTCACTTCAAGAGCCTGAAGTTTTGCAGCCATAGCATCTCTTCAATGAGGATGTTGGATGGCCTGTTTAAAACTAAAAGGTTCATTATGAGAGAAGATAGTAATAAAAAAAGCTTGATGAGGAACAAAATAAACAACATCGAAAAGGTAGGGGCAATAAGGTAGGGTTTACCTGGGGCAGCAAGCCATGAAGAAGACTGTTTGGAAGTGTGAGATGAGAAACTAGGTATGCTGTCCAGGGCTGAACTATAGACATAATCATTAAGATATATTGGTTTGTGAGAGGTCCGATGGGAGCGTCGTATGGAAGGAGGCAAGCTATTGGGGGATGATGGTGAGGGGGTAGGTAAGGGAACACCATTATTGGTTGGTTGTTGGTCATTAGAGGAGCATCGTATGGAAGGCCTCTGTTGGGAGCGTTGTATGTAAGCCAGCGAGCTATTGGGGGACAAAGGTGGTGATATTTAGGCTTGCATCGAATGAGCATTTCATATGGAGTTTTTCCAGAAAGGACACAAGTAGGCATTCAGTTTATTATGTACTTGTTAGAACACATTACCCACAAAAAGTAATCGGTGAATTAGCTTGCAAACGCAAAGCACATGCTACCTCCAAAAGGTGGCAGTGCTTGCATTTTGCAACATCATTTTGCTATGGGGTGTGCACATAAGTTCGTTGGTGTAATATGCCTTGCTCATTAAAAAGAGTTTGCATGGAATTAGATAAGAATTCAATGTTATTATCTATTCTAACTTGTTTGACATGACAATGGAATTGAGTTCTTACCATGGCAAGAAAATTCCTCATAAAAGGATATATTTCAAATTTGAATTTCATTAAGTATATCTAAGTACATCTAGAGAAGTCATCCAAAATGGTAAGAAAATAATGACCACCTAAATGAGAAGGGGTTGGATAACATCCTCAAATGTCGCAGTGAATAAGTTTAAAAGGAGAAGAGCATTTATTCAAACTAGAAGTAAATGAGAAACGTGTATGTTTAGCCCAAATGCATACATCACAATGTGTAACAAAACATGGAAATATATCTAAATGAGATGAAGGTAAACTAGCCAAACTATGTTGGGATGAATGTCAGAGTCTTCGATGCCAAAGTTCAAAGTTTGAACTACAATGAGCAGGAAGAGCAACTTGTTTATTTGTCGGTGGCTGAACATAGTGATACAACCCATCTCTCATCTCACCCAATCCAATCAGCTTCTTCGTTTTTAGGTCCTGAAAGACACAAAATGTTGGGAAAAAAATGACAGCACAGTTCAATACATCAGTTAACTTACTGATGGAAAGAAGATTAAAATTGAAAAATGGAACACAAAAAATACCATCTAACGTAATAGTGGAAGAAAGAATGGACTTTTCAGTATGAGTAACATGCATACTGGTACTATTTGGAAGACATACAGGTTTAGCATTTGAATTTTCAATAGTATGAGAAAGCAAGCATAAGTTAGGTGTAAAGTGGTTGGAAGCACCTGAATCAATGACCCAAGAGGTAAGTGGAGAGTGGACTGAAGAGTTACAATGCTATATACCTGCAAAGTTTGCTGCAGAGGGTTGTCCATCAGTGTTCAAGAGTGAAAAAAGTTGTTGATATTGACTACTGGTGAGCTGTAGAAGTGGAGTTACAATCCCACTTGAAGAAGAAGAAGCAAAATCAACAGAAGATGTTGTAAAAACAACTGCTTTGGAGGCTCCTACACGTGAAGCAACGACCATTCGAGATTTTGGATGCCATGCTGGGTATCCATGCAATTCAAAACATTTACTGCGGTCATGACTTATTCCACCACAGTGAGCACAGGTAGATTTTTGTTTTCCATGACCAAATGTTCGTAGGTTTTGAGGTGGACAAGCATGCCAAGCTACTAGAGCAGCCGCTTCTCATGCAGAAGCATTAGTAACTTGGAGGTTTCTTTACCTTTCTTCTTGTTCGACCAAAAAATAAACCTTATTGATATTTGGCATGGGTTCCATAGTAAGAATTTGGGTCTTTAGAGTTCTAAAAATCTCATTAACCCCATGAGAAACTAATATACATGTTCCCATTGTAGATGGGCCTGCACTTCTTTGCTTGCTCCACATGAAAAAGATGGCATCTTTGTATAACAAGCCAACTCGTCCCACAATAGTAAGCACATATTGATAATTGTTCTTGCCGAAATGTGGCTATAGATCTTTTCAATTCATAGATTCTTGGACGATTTCTTTGAGAGAACCTATCTTCAAGGTCAAACCACATGTCATGGACATAATTAGCGCAATTCACACTATTGCCAATGTCGGTGGAAACACTGTTGAGCAACCATGAAATCATCATGTTGCTACAACATTCCCAAGCCATAACTGTGGAAGGTGGAAAGGAGAATCTGGTGTAAAAACGAAAACAATCCCCGAAACAAGAAAAAAGAAACAAACACACAAGAAAGAGACAACCAACCACAACGTAAAGATATACGTGGTTTGGCAATGTGCCTACGTCTACGGGGAGATGAGAGCTTCTTTACTGGCAATGGGGAATAGGGTTACAATGACTCCACATTGGCAAATCTATTTCCTTAGAATACAAGATATCAATATTTAACATCTGATTTTTCTAAACTTCCATCAACGAAACATAACTTATTCTTGGCTGCAAATACCACTTTAATGGCACGCTTCCAAGTGAGATAGTTATCACCAGTAAGTCGTTGAGAGACTAAGACCATACTTAGATTATCTGAAGGATGCAGGTAGTATGGTGATGAGTAATCGATGGTAAAGCTTCCTCCAATACTGTCAATTGTCAAACTATTGTTCTTTGTACAGGTGAAGTCGTTGCCTTGTTGATTATTACTGGGGCTATCGGAAGCATGTTCGCTATTGTTGAGATGCACATAAACTGGTACAACAGTTTGTTGGCCGACATTTGGTTGCAATGAAAAGCTTTTGCATATGCTTCAAACTGTACACAGTCGTTTGCACAAGGAAATACGTGGGGTCACGCGCTACATCCAAGATGGGTTGTTTGCACAAATATGTGGGGTTCTTGCAAAAGGCTTTGCAAACTTCAAAGTGCTAGAAATTGAGTTTTAAAGACTCAATATCATTGTTCGCAAAATTGTTCGATCACCCGGTTAGATGGGAACCGGCCAGTAGCTGGTTCAAGTTTTGGGCAGTTAGGATGATCAACCTATATTTAAAAAAGAAAAAATTCAAAAAATATATATAAATTTTCAAAAATAAGAAATTTAATTTATAATATATTTTTAAATATTCTTTACATTATGGTAAAGGTTAAAAATTGTTTTGATCATTAATACTCACTTTTATATTTTCCCATCTTTTTTAGAAAATTTTAAAAATAGCCCTAAGAAAAATATAAATGGGTTAAAATTCATTTTTTCATTAATTTTCAACTTCATTTGAATGTGTTTTGTTTTAATCATTTTTTATATGCTTTTTTTATTTTAGTAGATTTTTTTTGTATTTCTTTAACACTTTGTTTACTTCTTGGGACTTGTCCTGTTAGAGCGGTTGAATCGGCCGGTTTACCGGTTAGGCTGGTTAAACCGCTTCCAGGGCCATGTTCGGTTAACCGTTCCGGTTCGATGTTACGAACACTGCTCAATATAGCTTTTGCAAACTGCTGTAACATGGTCATGAGACTTGGAAGCATAAATGCTTTTGCAAACGAAGACTTGGAATTGCTGTGCAAACTGTTTTTTTTCCTAGACAGAGAAACTGTGTTGAAAAGAGTAAAAAGCTGTGGAAATGGTATGAGCCCGACTCTCTCATTAACCTCGCTCTGATATCATGTTAAAATGTGAAAGTCATATCTTTATTATGGATAAAATGTCCGACTTATAGATATACAAGATAAAAGATACATACAAATAACTCTCAAATCCATGATTGAATGGATGAGATAACAACAAATAGTTATAACAATAACAAGATCCCATTTTGAATGGGTCTTCTAATTTTGAATTTGAATTTGAAATCGTCCCATTTTGAATAGGTGTTCTAACTTTGAATTTGAAATCGAAATCAAATCGCCAATATTCATATTGAATTCATGTGCTATTTTATGGGATGGATATTTTATGTAATATCTATTGAGCGTCCGTTGGGAGTTTTACAAGTAAATCATTGAGTTCTATGATAAAGAAGCAAAGAAAAGAAAGAAATGTTTTACAGGAAATTTGTAATAAATCAAGGAGAATGATGTCTAAAAATTACTAAAGGTGAAGCCAGCTCGGTACTTGCCGAGGCATAATCGTTGTAATATATATGAAAATAGGAATATGCATATCATATATAAAATGCAATATAATAGAAAATTTTAAATATAGGGAATTTTTTATTTATTTGAAGTTTAACTCTTATGAAAATTAGATTGTGAAGTTGTAAATACCTTCTATGCATGATGGGGGCAAGTTAGTGGAAGTTGTTGCGATGGTGAGCAGCCACTGAAATTGATGAATTCTACATAAACTAAGTAGCATAAATTAACATGTACGTAGAAATAGAAAGAGCTTCAGAAGAGTAGGGTTTTTTTTTTGGGTAGTATGCTTCCCTTACAGCTTAAAATTTATATATTTCTCTTTATCCAACTATCCATTCTGAATGGAGGGGTAATATTGCCCAAATCATAATGTCACATCTTTATACTATTTTATTTTTAATGTTTTTTCTATAAAACCAAATTTTGTACGTCTAATCCTCTATTAAACTCGCACTAGCGAAAAAATATAAAAAATATATTTCTAATAAAATAAAATGACCAAAATACCTATGAAAATTTCAAGGGGTATTTTGGTTATTATATTTTATCAAAAACTTGTTTTTAATATTTTTTATAAGTGCGCCCCAATGAGAAGATGGCCCCTACCAAATTTCATATTTATATAATTTATATAAAAAAACTAAAAATAAAATACTTTGAAGCATCAGATCTAAAATCAAACAGTGAGGGGCTCTTGATCAAAATTGGACGGTTGGATGGTAGGAGAACCATAGATCTTCTATGCTGTATGGGAGATATAGAAACTTTTCCCTTTTTTTTTGAGCTTTGATTTGGTAGAAACTATACTTTCGATCGATATGCTTAAAGATCGTACTACAACTAGTTATAGAATAATATACAAAGCAAATATTAGAATACACATAATAGGCATTAACCCCAGCTATTGGAATGACAATGCACATGCATCCACACAAAAAAAAGGATAGTTCAGATAGATTATGTTTTAGAGAGAGAAAACAAGGAACGAGAGAGAAGAAAGGAAAAAAGTAATTGATTTTAAAAAAACTATCTACTTACCCTCTATTTTTAACTTCTCTATATCTTTGGACTCAACCCTCTATTTTTAACTTCTCCATATCTTTGGACCGAAAGATGAAAAATATTATTTTGGAAGCAAAAGATTTCTATTTTTTCTATCTTGCAACCCCTAAAACCCCTTTTGAGATGAATTTTTGACTTCAATAAAAATTAAAATGACATCCTCTCTCTCTCTCAAATTGCGGACATCCTCTCTCTCTCTCAAATTGCGGTCTCTAATAGCGCCGTCTCTCCCTCTCTCAAAAAGCACTTTCTCTCTCTCTCTCTCTCTCTCTCCTCTCCCAATAGAGTAGAGATCCCTAAGATTACCATTTTGCTGGCGGAGAACAGCGGACGCCATAATCGAAGCAGCCAAACCTTTCTTCATGGCTCTGGCAAGTTGGGTCTTTTCTGGGTCAAAAAAAGTTACGATTTTGCTTGTAGGATCTCTTTTTTCAGGGCTAAAACCGTTCAAGACTTCTATGTCAAACTGATGAGGCACTCTCCATGGCTTTGGAAGATGGGTTTTTTGTGGGTCACAACGGTCACAATTTTTCTTCTTGGGTCTCTCTTATCAGTGTTGGACTTGTTTGACTATGTATCAAAGAGGCTGCAAAAACCAGATTTCTATATTTTGGAAAGTTGGGTTTTTTGCTTGACAGAAAATATTAGTAGTTTGCTTGTTTGGTCTTAATCCTTCAGGGCTTAATAAAAGAATTTTGTGGCTGAAACAGTAGACGCCATTGTTGAATCAGCCAAAGCTTTCTTTTGGTTCTCAAATTTCAGGGTTTGGTGGATAGACTTGGTTAAATGTAACTCAACATTTTGGTTAGCGAAAGAGAGAAAGCGGTGGCAGAGGGTGAGAGAGGGGCAACAGAGTTGTGGGCCGACTGCTGGTGGCAGAAATGAGGGATTGGTTGCAAGGAAGAGGAAGAACAGGGAGTTGGGCACAGGATGAAGGAAGAGAGATGGACGAGGATGGGAAAAAGGGAGCAGCAGCACGGGGGCCGGGCCGCAGCAGGGGATGGATTGGTTGCAAGTGGTGATCATGGCTTGGTTGAGAAGAGGGGTAAAACACAGATGGTGGCTGCAGAGGTGGAACAAATAGGTGGAAATGAGGGCCGGGCCGCAGCTGGTTGAGACGGATGGCGGAGAGAAAGAAAGTGCAGTGGGTGCCCGTTGGTTTTTCTTTGCTGAGCCAGTGTTCTTTTTTTATTTCAATTTAGAAATTTTTCGGGTAGAAGATGGTCGGATTTGTCACCGGATTTTTCTCCTCTCTTGTCTCTATCCTCTCTTTCCTCACGCCTCTCAATCAGCTGCCGCTTCCCTCAACCGTCGCAACCGCCGCATACAACAAGCCCACCACAACTGCCTTCTTCCCATGACCTCCCATCTGCTCTCTCCTCAGCCGCTGCACGTAGCAAACCCTCTCTCAACCTCTGACACTGCTCTCTCTTCCTCCTCCGCCTTCCTCTTTCCACCATCTCTCCATCTCATGCCTCTCTCTCACTCTCACGTTCTTCACCTACTCTCTCTCTCTAATAAAACCAATGGGCACCCCACTGTTGAGAGAGGATACCATTTTTTTTTTTATTGGGGTCAAACATTCTTCGCAAAAAGGGATTTAAGGGGTTGCTGGAAAAACAGAGATCCTTTGCTTTCAAGTAATATTCGCTTTCAAATAATATTTTTCGTCGGATCCCAAAAGACATTGAAGTTAAAAATAGGGGTAAAGAGATATTTTCACTTGATTTTTTATAATAGGTATATGGGTGAGTGGTAAATAATAGGTATATGGGTGAGTGGTAGAGGAAATCTTTGCTATGTACACTTATCCGCCCCTGTTTTGCCAAAATTTATTTTGGGGTGACAGGGTCTCAATACTGAAGTTGGACATCTCACCTTGCGCAAATGAGTTTAGGTATGAAGCTTTGACACCTATAATGAAATTTTGCTGAAATGTATGGACGGATGATGCATGGTACATGAACAGTAAAATTTCAACAGATATGACGGAAATTTTGGTGTGTTCAGCTCATGAGGCGGTGTAGCTTGCAAAAGGCAATCTTATGGTGTATTTTATAGTGCATATTATGTTTTTAGAACCTCAGGGGAAACACTCATAACAAAGGTTTCATAAAATTCTTTTATTAATTTTCTTCAAATTCTTTTTTGAAGTAAATATAGAATTATATCAACTGTAAATTTACAATATATGGAATCATCGAGATTTTATCTTCTTAACAAAGCTCGTTTTGAATGTAGTTGGCGTTTTTAATAGTAATTTTTTTTTTTTAAATTATAGTTTTCAAAGTCACTATAAAGCTTATTTTAAAGAGGAAAGCTAAAATTTTATTATGGACAAGCTTTTTATGGTTTCCCTACAACATAAAACTTATATATTTCCCCTTATCCAACCCTCCATTATGAATGGAGGGCTAAGATTGGCCCAATCACAATATCACGCTTGTACACTATTTTATTTTTAATATTTTTTTATATAAACTATCTTGACACCAATTTTAGTACATCCAATCCTCTATTAAACTTTCACTAGTGTAAAATATAAAAAATTTATTTTCAATAAAATAAAATGACTAAAATACCCTTAAAGGCTTTAAAGGGTATTTTGGTAATTATATTTTATCAAAAAATTATTTTCAATATTTTTTATAGGTGTGCCCGGCTTGTACCAAATTTTATATCATACAATTTGTATAAAAAAATAATAAAAAATAAAATACTTTGAGACGTCTGATCTAAGATCAAACCGTGAGTGGCTCTCTTAATCAAAATTGGACAGATGGATGGTAGGGGAAGCATAGATCTTCTATGTTGTAGGGAAAGTATAGAAACCTTTCCTTTTTATTATTTATATGCAGTTTTTATTTAATAGATCATATTCACAATATGTAGCCTGGTGGGTGATGACCATAAACTTTCCCTAAAGTTATCCCATGCATGAGGATACCCATAAAGTTTTGTCACGTTCTGACAAGTTTTAAACCGATTAGGATGAAACTCAGTTTTTAAATCCAGTTCATATCATGCTGAAAATGGACCATATAACTACAACCCTATTTTATGGGTCTCAAAAGAGTATCAGACCACTGCCATTGGATCCAGAATGTCGAAAAACCTCCAAATATCAAATTTCTGCTGAATAGGACCTGGGACCATTCTGGGATGCATAAGGAGAGAGCCAGTAGAAACTTGTCCCGCTGGTGCCAAAAAACGTAGCCTCGACTGTGGGAACACTATAGCAATAAACCTGATATTGGGTGACCTTTGAAGAAGTATTAGAATGGCCTCAAATTGTATGAGAGGTTAGCTTGGGATGCCCTAAGGACACCCGTAAAGTTTCATCATGTTCTTACAAGTTTTTAAGCCGATCGAGATGAAACTCGATTTTTAAATCCAGTTCCTATCATGCTAAAAATAAATATATAACTACAACTCTATTTTCTGGGTTTCAAAAGTGTATCAGGCCACCACAATTGGATCTGAAATGTCAAAAAACCCCAAGATACCAAATTTTGGCTCAATCGGACCCTCCAGGACCATTTTGGGCCTAACTTACAAAAAACTTGTCGGTTTTACACTATTGCGCTGCCGCATCAGTGAACCAATTTCCATTTATGAAAGCTTTATTTTTTCATTTCGGGATGAATTTCAAATTCTCTTAATTTGCTCATTTTGGGTCCAACTACGCTCAAATTCGGACATGAGCTAGATCTCGACGATACGCTCGTTTTGACATATGGCACGCGCATCATGGTGTGGCCTGAAAAGAGAGAATTATTAGAGAGAATATGAGTTCCAAACTTGAAAATTTAGATTTTAAAAAGAGGAACATCTCATTCTTTGAGAGGCTATAGCTCGAGATCCTAGTGTCGGATCGTCGCAAGTATGGCTCTGTTGCAACCGTGCTTCGAAGAGCTTCAGTTTGATATGGTTTTTGTTCATGATCGGAGGCTGGATGATACCGAATTTTGAGGTTGAAGAAGGCAGTGATTGAAGGTCGGATGATACCGAGTTTGGAGGTTGAAGAAGGCACACTTTTTCGATCGCCAGAATCCCATTTTTTGGCCACCTCCAAATAACTCACTCAAATGGAGACCAAAATGGACGATTTATCACAAAATGATCGTGATAGTATCCTCTTTAATTTGTGATCAAAATGAAGTCATGGAACATCATGAATCGTGTCGAATCGGTGGTCGAAGAATCACAAGTTTATGGACTTGACTAGATTTTGGGTTCTTCCGTAAAACTCTGTTTCTAGACGATCAATGCCTATCAAAACGTGCGTAATAATCCAAGCATTGATTCTACAACATTTAATCGCTCGAATTGCCACCTGAAACATCCGAAAAAGCTCTCGAGGCCTAGCAATGGCAAAAGATCCCTCATGGAGGGATGGTTTTATTATTTCATAAAAAGTGCTTAGGGGTATTTTGGTTATTAATTCTAAAACATGATGAATATTTTGATTCACTAAATGTATAATTTCCAACAATTCTAAAGGTTTTTGAGTATCTACCTATATTTTGGGGTTACTCTATATGAGTAAAGTGAATTCATTTATAAATAAGTTTCGGAATTAATGAAAAGAGCTTGAGAATTCAAAAAGCTTAGGCTTCTCCTTTTGCTTTGATCCCAAACCCAAAATTCAAGGACAGAGGAGAGAGAAACAATTCCTAGAAAGAGAAACTACCCTTAAGAACCTCTCACTCTATAGAACCTCAAAATTCCAACTTCTTAGAACTCCATACATTCTAGCTCCAATACACCCTAGGATTCCTAACTCCCAATCCTACACCATACATCCTACACCATATACCCTACTCCATACACCTTATCTTTCCTACGCCCTACCCTACTCCATACATCATAGCATACTCCATATACCTTATTCCATACACCCAACTTCATATACCCTAGCTTGCATACACCTTACCTTCCCTACACCTTAGCTATCTCAACCTACCTAAGTCCATGCACCTAGAGCCTAAACTCTAGCATCAACTCATAAGGACCAATACCTCTTTCTAAAGATGCACGCAAAAGGGACCCTTGAATGTGCACCTAGGCTTGAGCCCATTCTAGGTCCACTCTCTCTCCTCTCTCCTTTCTCTTTTCTCTTCTCTCTCTTTCTCTCTCTTCTCTTTCTCTTACTATCTTTCTCTCTCTTCTCCTTCTCTTACTGTCTCTCTCTCTCTCTTCTCCTTCTCTTACTGTCTCTCTCTCTCTTCAATCGAACCCAAGGTGGGTTCGAGCTCCCCCTCTCTCTTTACTCTCACCTTCTCCCTCTCTTTGCTCTCTTACTCTTTCTCTCTCTCTTTGTTCACTCTCCCTCTCTCACATCTAAAAAGCCACGGAACCGTACCTAGGGCGGGCTCGATTGCTCTCTCTCTCCTTCTCTTACTTTCTCTCTCTCTCTCTCCTGTCCAAAGCCCCAGACCTGCACCATAGGCAGGTATGTTACTTGCCCTCTCTTCTTCTCCTCCTCCTCTCTCTCTCTCTCTCTCTCTCTCTCTCTCTCTCCCATCCAAAGCCTCGGACCCGCACCATAGATGGGTCTGTCACTTCCCCTTCTCTTTGACTCTCTCGTCCTCTCTTTCTCACAACACCAGTTCAAGGACGTGCCCCATAGGCGGGTTTGTCCCTCTCTCTCCATCTTACTCTCTCTCGACCTCTCGCCTACCCCTCCAAGCCATGGACCTGCGCCATAGGCTGGTCCATCTACTCTCTTAGTCTCTCACTCTCTCGTTTCATCTATCCACTGTCCACTTAGGCACGGACCCTTGCCCCATGTGGGTCTACCTTACCCCTTTATCTCTCTAACTCTCCTCTCTTATTCTCTTACTTTATTCTCTCTAATTCTCGTCCCTCATTCATATATCTTCATCTACTATCTTTCTCATCTCTTTTATCTTTATCCCATCTCTCTTTCATTTATCTTTTATTTTATTATTTCTTCATTCTCTCCCTTCACTCACTTCTTCTCTCACCCTTGAGCACTTGAGCCGAGGTCTTCCTAAGATAGTGCCTTAGGGTTCTAACTCTCAGATTGCTACTCTAACCATCAGTTCATATAATATTATTGACTTGTAAGAGACACAAATTCTCTTGTGCTGGATCACTCTGGGTGGGGTCATCCTGAGACAACTTTCTTAGAGTTTTTACCCTTGAACTACTCTAACTACCAAGTTACGTAGTGTTCGAGCTGTGAGAGATTTCTATCTCTTTCACTCTCTTTCACTCTCTTCTCTTCTCTCCCTGGATCACTGTTAGGGGGCTCTTTGGGTTAGTGAAATAATCACAGGCTAAGTCCCACGACTCCACTTTCCAAATCCTTACCATACTTGTCGGGTCGTCGGAGGACAGTAGGGTGTGGGATCGCGACCACATGTAGCGAATGCAACTTGGGTGGGAGTGCGCTCAATGCTTTGAAAAGAGGGAATCAAAGCCAACCACGAAAGAAAACAAAACATAAAGCACATAACCATAAAAAGCTGGACAAACAAGTCTCAAAATACATATAAATGCTCCAAAATATTACAGATGAGTCCAAGGCACAAAAGGCCCAACAACAATACATAGTTCCAATACAAAGTGAACTATATGGCCAAATTGCCATCTAACACATACAATTAAAAAGAGGTTTCCACAAGAAGGGAGTACGGGGCTCCAACAACGATCACTAGAACGCCCTTTCCAAAACCCGCTGGCTATCACCCTACAAAGAGGAAAGTTA